TTTATGTGAATATATTTGTATTTTTTAGAGTGAGATGTGTGAGTGATTGTGTGTTTATAAGTTATATTGAGTGAGATATGATGTATATATATATATATATATATATATATATGTATATATATATATATATATATATATATATGTATATATATATATATATATATATATATATATATATATATATATATATATATATATATATATATATATATATATATATATATATATATATATATATATATATATATATATATATATATATATATATATATGAGTATACAATAGGTATTAGTTATTTATATAATTTCTTTTTCCTTTCTATTTAGCATTTATTTATAAAGTATTTTCTTACAATGTTTTAATATTGATTACAGATGTTATTGGTTCGATTTTGTCGATAGGTTCATTGGCTCACCTAGCCGATGGAACCAAACAGAACATTCCATTTGGACTTCAAGATATTAAGTAATTTAAAACTCACTGAAATGTATTTTTTAGATTTTACATGTGTTTTTCATATCAATCATCATTTTCTTTGACATGCAAGTGATTGTTTGCTAGGGGAAAACTTTGCTGACTACATACTTCAACGAATTCAGGATATTAGTGTAGGGCTGTATATTGTTGTAATACAATTTGCAACTACTGAGATTAAGAATAGAATTTATTTGTTGAATATTTCTAATGAATGTGAAGGACATTTATTACATTTCATGACTATTCTTATGTTTTCTTAGGTGAAGTCCAGGTATCCAACCATTGACATTCATCGCATGTGCTTATAAATGAGGATATTCCTGCAATTAACGAATTCAAATCGAGGTTATAGTTTTATCTTTAAATAAATTAATTACTTTGTTTTTAAATTTATTTCGTTCATTACGATTTATTAGCATGTAGTTTTTATTTTAGTTTCATTCGAAGTAAACCAAATAGTTGTCAAGTGATAAGTCAGATGTCGTCGCAGTCTTCTTACTCGATGGAAGATGATTTCATACGTAAGACTGTTAGAAAAAAATTGGACGAATTGAGTGACACAAATGAGGTAATAACAATGTATTTGCTACATTATTTATTCGTACACTTTCAATAAAATACAAATATAAACCATTTATCAAATCTGATTATAACTATATTTAACTAACTATTGTTTATTTTCTCAGTATAGGATTTCCAACTCTCTTCATCACCATCACATGCAATCCTCAATGGTCTGAAATACAAAGGGTGTTGAAAGATACAAATCTTAGGCCGGGGGATCGGCCAAACATTCTATGTCGTGTGTTCAAGATGAAGCTCGAAAGTATGATGACATAAATTAAGAAATGACGTGTATTCGGATGTATTAGAGCATGTAAGTATTTAATTAGATCTCAATTTATAATTATACATTTACTACATTCATAAGAATTAGAGATATGCATCATATGTGAGTTTTAATATTTATTTATTCATTAACTAAATTAATGCATATTGTTTCATATCATTTGTTTACAGTTCCTCTCCAGATGTGTGGACTATTGAATTTCAGAAACGAGGTCTACCGCATGCACATATTTTGTTGTGGTTGCATAATGATGACAAGCCCAAGACCCCAGAAGAAATTGACAAGATTATATGTGTTGAAATTCCTGATGAAGAAACCGACAAAAAGATGTACCAGTTGGTGGAGAAAGTATATGATACATGGACCGTACGGTCAGGCGAATTTGAAATCTCCTTGTATGAAGGATCGAGTTTTGCACGAAGCGATTTCCAAAGCCATTTGTGCAGCGAACTGAGTCAGATACATATGGTTATACTGTGTACATGAGAATGGAAGATGGCATAACGGTTATGAAGAAGAATACTACTCTTGACAATGGTTTTGTAGTTCCGTATAATTGGGTATTATTGAGTAAATACAGATCTCACATTAATATAGAGCTATGCAACCAAAACATGTCAATCAAATATATGTTCAAATACGTCAACAAGGGTCATAATCGAGTTACAACGGCATTTTACGAAAGACGCAATATAGATGGTTGTGCTGAGATTCGTGACGAGATAAAGATGTACTACGACTGCAGATACCTTTCGGCATGTGAGGCAATGTGGAGGTTGTTTAATTTAGATATTCATTACAGAGACCCATCTATAATTAGGCTAAGTTTTTATCTCCCAAATCATCAGTCGCCTGTCTTCAATGAAAACAAATCATTACAAATTGTTCTGGATAGACAATTTGCCAAGCAAACGATGTTCTTTGCGTGGTTTGAGGTAAACAAAAGTTATCCACATGCCAGGGACTTGAGGTACGGAGATTTTCCACAGCAGTTTGTGTATACGGAGGATTTTTGCACTTGGGCGCCAAGAAAAAATGGATTTTCTATTGGTAGGATTGCAAATGTCCCCCCTGCAAAGGGGGGACACTATTACTTTAGGTTGCTACTTAACATTCAGAGGGGTGCAGGTGTTACGAGGACATCAGAAAAGTTGCTGACTACGTTTACCCTACGTTCAGGGATGCGTATTATGTGTTGGGTTTGTTAGACGACGACAAAGAGTACATGGATGCGATAAGAGAAGTGAATGCTTGGGCATCTAGGGATTATATAAGGAGGTTATTTGCGGTTATGCTGTTTTCCAATAGCTTAAGTCGGCCCGAACATGTTTGGCAAAGTTGTTGTTCGGGTTTGGCGGAGGGTATTGCTTACAGAGAACAATGGCTTCATAATAATCCAGGTATGGCAATTTGTATAGAATTGAATTAGATTTTAAATATTACTCCCTTTTTTAATAGGCTCTTTAACTTTTGAACTAAAAGCATACAATGTAAAAAAAAATTGTGCAGATTTATCTATATCGGATGAAAGCTTGATGAACTATACTCTCACTAAAGTAGAGAAAATATTGCAAAGTAATGGTAAAATCTACGTAATTACGTGTCCATGCCATTTCCAATTGAATTCGCGGTGGAGGACACAATAAACATATTGGTGTTAGATGAACTGGATTACGACGGTTTGAAATGGGTAAAGAACTTCAACGGTGTCTTGCCTCAATTACAGACGAGCAAACAAAGGTTTATGATATAGGATGTTGTATCTAATGACCGTGGTGGAATGTTCTTTCTATATGGTCATGGTGGAATGGGAAAACATTTATCTGGAAAACTCTTTCGGCTACAGTCCGTTCCAAGGGAGAGATTGTAATTAATGTTGCATCGAGTGGTATATCATCGTTATTGCTCATCGGCGGAAGAACAACTCATTTTCGATTTCTACTTCCCATAACTGTACACGAGACTTCCACCTACAGCATAACGCAACAAAGTCCACATGTGGAGTTGATGATTAGGGCTAAGCTTATTATGTGGAACGAGGCTCCTATGATGCATATGAACTGTTTTGAAGCGCTTGACAAGACAATGAAGTCAATATTACAGGTAGACAAACCGTTTGGAGGTAAGGTGGTTGTTCTTAGAGGAGATTTTAGGCGGATTTTACCAATCGTACTGAAAGCATCAAGGCTGGACATAGTACATGCTACGGTAAACTCCTCTCCGTTGTGGCATTTCTGTCGTGTCATGAAGTTGAGTAAGAACATGAGATTGAAGTCATGTTCTTCTCCATCTAATGTGGACGAGGTAATAGAATTTGAGGACTGGATACTAAAGGTTGGTAATGGGAATGTTAGGGAACAATATGATGGTGAAGCTTCGCTAGAGATTCCCGAGGACATGTTGATTGGTGATTCAGAAGATCTATTCAGAGACCTACTGAACTTCGTCTATCCTGATTTGTTGAGTAACATGTATGATCCAGATTATTTTCAAGGGAGGGCAATTCTTGCACCAACTAATGAACGCGTCGAGTCTGTGAACGATCACCTGATGTCTCTCCTTCCAGGTGAGGAGAAGGTGTACCTGAGCTCAGATAGTATGTGTAGGGACGAGCGAACAACGGATCGGAGGATAATGCAAAAATCTATTCGACTGAATTTCTCAACACAATAAGTTGCTCAGGGGTTCCTTTGTTGAGGATCGTGCATGTATACGCAGCGGAATTAAATTTTTTTAGATCGAACTAGTTTCGATTAAATGCATAAACTAATCACATAGTCAACGTACCTTAACGCTTCCGCCATACATATGGTAATTATCGATTTTATTAAAAACATGTAAAACCGAAAATTATAAAAAATGCTGGTCCATCATACACAAAAATCGAAACACGTAATCACATATTACTCATGCTCATAAATTAAAATTCATACAAACATGCTCGAATCAATTTACGAAAGTTTCGATTTAATTACCTCTTGTAGCGTGAGATTTCGACGAATCGAAACCTAGAACCAAACACGTACAAGCTGCAAATTACCAATCCTCGGGGCTGCAACTCACGGCTGGAGCAAACTGATCCAGCAGGCGGCGGACGGCGGCGTGTGGCAGAGTCAGCGATGGCGGCGCGTGGACGGTGCAGCGATGTGTGCGGCGGTGCAGCGGCGGTGTGTGGATTCCGTCGGGGCAGCAGCTCCTCTCCAATTAGGTTTCACCTCGTATTTTTGACCCACTCGAACTACAGGACTAGATGTAAACGAGTTAGATAAACAACAAGAATAAACGAAGGAGTAGAGCGGAGAAAACCGGCGACTATCGGCGGCGATCGGCGGCGGCGCGGCGGGGCAGCAACGGCCGAGAGGGCTTAGCGGCTAGGGTTTGACGGCTAGGGTTTTGAAACATAAATCTGATCTCAAACTCTTGTTTGAGGTCTATTTATACTAGGGTTTTCAACCCTTGTGGGTTTAATTCATTGGGCTTGACCCACTGATGCATTAAGCCCATTCCCTCGTCGGCCTCGTTTCTAATAAACGATCGTTCACAAAATTATAACAAAATTATATTTGTGACGAGCTCAAAGTCCTCGTCGATACGAGTGCCTCTTCAAAATTTCCAATTTCCAAAATTGGAAACTTCTACTTTAGTGGACCTGCTAAATCGCGAAACTTCCCAATTTAGAAAGTTCACTAAATTCCGCATTTCTCTCTTTCTCTACGTTTATTCCGATTCGCAATCCACAATTACGAATCTTGGATTCAATCATATCGACATCCAATCGTTCAAAGATTAACATATTAATCTATGCTTGTTGTTATCAATGATCTATATTACACGAGAAGTGTGACCCTCAATGGTTCAGGTGTATGCTAGCCGTGGGCTCACAACTCTTTGTGATTCGAGCAACACATTGTTCTTATACGAACTCCTCCCAAGAGTCCCGATTAGAGTAAAACTCATTTTACCTAATCACCGATCAAAACGGTGCCCAACGAATCAAGATTGGCGTCTAGCAACTACGCATCATGATTCCCTAGATACAAGTGAAGTGCCTGCAAGAACCTTATGATATAGTTAGCGTACAGTACGATCCTTTCGCAGCACATGTCCTGATTGAACTAGAGGCATTGGTTCACCGAGACCTCTTATAAAGTTCAATAACCGTGCAAACGTTCTAGGTATTATAAATCCGTTCGTGTGTGACTTAGGGAAACACATTTCCCTAATCACCCCACTATCAACTCTGGCCAGAGATTCCTTGGATTATAAACCGTCAGAACACACTGGACATCCATGACTACTCAAGCGCTCGAATCCCCTACTACAATGCAAAGACTTCACACTAGATTTCGGATTGCACGAACGTTGGTCCTTGGAGTGGTCCGTTGTGGGACTCAGGGACAGGTCACGATACAATCGGTCCTCTAGTGAAGCCACGGTGATGTCTGGGTCTTAAGGACTAATGGTGTACAACTATATCTTAGAAACCTATTACTCGATGAATGAGAACCACTTATAGATTTCTAGGGCCAGAGAGTTCAGTGAACTCATCCAGTATGAGCACCCACTCAAGTATGCCGATGTCACAACACCGAGGACTGATGAGACGCAGTACACATACACTAAGTGCTAGTCTCAAAAGGGAAAGGCCGGTATCCTCATTATTGGCGTAACCCATTGACTAGGAACAAGGTTTAACAGTTACATTACATTGCTGAGTTATCTCACGATTCTACTAGATCAACTCACAGTAATAGAGTAACTCGTTAGGACTATATCTATGTTGCTTGCATGGGATAAGAGATATAGAATGCCAAATGTAATATTTTATTATTACGAACGAAAAACGATTGTTTTATTACAAGAAATAAGATAAAGACCACAGCCACAAGTTGGCTGGTTGGTCACCTACTCTAACATCCTTCTCATGTATTGAAGTCCAAGGTCGGTGCACCAGTTATGTTAATAAGAAACATAAATCAAGCAGAGGATTGTGCAACGTGACCAGACTTCAAATTATTATAATCTGCATTGTAAACTTCTTTCCGGCAAAAATATCGGTGACATTGTGTTCATTCCTCAGTTGACTTTAATACCATCTAACTTCGGATTGTCAATTAAATTTCAGAGAAGACAGTATCCGTTGATTGTTTCTTTTGCAATGACGATCAACAAAAGCCAATGCCAAACTCTTTCGCATGTTGGTTTGTATCTTCATCGGCCTGTCTTCAGCTATGATCAACTATATATTGCATTGTCCAGAGTTAAGAGCAGATGTGGCATTAAGATAGTCATCAAGTGGGATTCGGACGAACTCACCGATGTTACTAGAAATGCCGTCTACAAGGAAGTATTTCATCGAATTTGAAGGTTGAAAATATTTTTATATTTATGAGTTCTTCATGTAACATGTCTTGGTTTTTATTTTTTTTAATATCTTACTCTTTGGCAGGTCTATCTTTCCTATATGTTTTTCCCCGTGCGATGTTATTTTCAGTCCTGTCCCTAGGATGCTCAGTGCAAATCTTATTATCTTTAAGATTTATGTTTGTCGATATACTAATATTTAATATTATTGTTATATTGTAACTATGAAGAACATGATACTTATAACATATTTTTAATATTGTTGGTCAATAACGTTTTGTACTTAAATTAATGAGCGTAATAATTGATATCTATGTAAATTTGTTTTACAGACATGTATTTCCAGTTGAAAATATGCCGCCCCGTGCATCGCACGGGTGAATTCTAGTTAGTATTAATATCAATATTCGTATTAATATTACTATTAGTATTGGTATTACTATTAGTATTAGTATTAGTATTAGTATTAGTATTAGTATTAGTATTAGTATTAATATTAGTATTAGTATTAATATTAGTATTAGTATCAATATTAGTATCAATATTAGTATGAGTACCAGTATTAATTGAATTAGTATAACTATTGGTAACAATATTGGTATCAGTATTGGTATCGGTATTGGTATCAACATTGGTATCAGTACTGTTTGTGGCGTATACATCATATATGTTTTGCAATATTTATACGTTTTATTGTTGTTTGAGTAATGTGCATCACTAATTGAACGCCATTAGTGATAAACTTGCAGGTTATTTGAAAATCTATTTTATTATTTCTCTGCTACCGTGTTTATTGTTACCTTAGTTATTTTGCAGAATATTCACATGATGTAGTAGATTGCAATCCAAGAAATAGAGTTATCCATATGTTTTAAATGATTTCACTTAATTTCGATATCGTGTTTTGCGCGCTTCATGTTTTCTTATTTGTAATATTTTACTTAATTTCATATGTTGCAACTCTAAATTAAGAGATAAAGTTTATGAATTTTATTTCATTCCATTTTGTTTTACTTGAATTTGTATTATTATAAAGAGATAATCATTTACATAAGTTTATTTTTCTCATTTTGAAACTGACTTCCGTGCAACGCACGGGTGAAATACTAGTATCGATGAATTCTAAATATCAAGTTTAATGTTTCAATTAAAGTTAAACGTTTAGTCAGGGCCGTTCCTGAGAATTCGGGGGCCCTAGGCGAGGTTTAAAGAACAACTGAAAACGGAGGGCCCTATTTGATAAACTATTTTTTTTTATAAAAGAGTGTTCGAAATTGAATGTACTAAAAAAAATATAAATAACATTTTTCTAAAAATGATGAAATAAAAGATTATGGGGGTTCGGGGGCAGTGCCCCCGGAATATTTTTTGAAATGTATGAATATAAATTAACTAAAAATATGGAGAAAAAATCAAGATTAACAATATGATTTGCTGGTTCACTTCCTCCCCGACGTATATATAATCTTTATAACAAATATACTTTATAAATATTTTTGAACTTGAATACACCAATGAACATTGATTCTTATTTTAGAATGAAAATAAGTAATTAAGACATTATAAATTTAATATTTAGGGGCCCCAAGGTTAAGAACATTGCAAAATATTGATCATTTGGTTTAAATTTATTTTAGAACTCATGGTCCAAAATATTATATATAATATTTTTTTTAAATAAGTACAATTATATAAAGTGTATATAAAATAATTTGGGGGCCCGGCCCTAAATTTTCTTAAAAAATCAGGGGGCCTAGGCGATCGTCTACTTCGCCTCCCCTCAGGACCGGCCATGCGTTTAGTATTGAAGATGTTTACTAACAAGTAAGCAAGAAAATGTTAATATAAAAATTGTTCCACTAATTTTTTAATCATTATGCAAAATCAAAAAAAATTCAAAAATAAAAAATCGAATACTTCGGCAAACATTTTTACTAAAAGATTACCAAAAAAATTCAACTGAATTTTAATATTTTTTTTATAAATCAAATAGATAGTATAGAAGAATTCTACTAATACGTAGCGAGAAATATTTCACAATATACACGGTAAGATTCTACTTATTTTATTTGTTTCCCAATTCAGCCCAATACATTCGATCCATAAAGCCCAATCGGACTTACTTGAAATATATTATTTCCAGTGCCCAAAAACGTTGTCGTATCATTCAACGCCTAATTATGCAGCTTTGAGCCCTAATTCGATAATTCCCCTCTTCTTCTTCTTCGTCGATCCTCATTCCAGATTGCGTGGGTAGGTAACAACAAGCTCCATAATTGAGCTTAAATTCAGTAGCATCTTATTTTCATCGAGAGGCATATGAAAATACATATACAAGGTATACATTTGGTCTCTCGTATTGCATCCATTTATGATTGCTTTGCTCTACTTATTTTACTTGATAATTCAGTTGTGTTTCCAATTTTAGTACTTTCATCCTAGATCAATGTTCCAATATACTGCTATTGTTCTTTGTTAATTATTTCTATCCATTTATGAATCTATCGTCTGATAACTCATCAGGTTTGTTAATACGAATGCAGAGACGGAAAAAGGAACATTTACATTCATAAAACTAGGCATTATATATAATATTCCAATAATTCACAATAACTTTACATCATTCGTAATCACCTCCGAATTCGTTACACTCATCTGTGTCTGTGTGTGTGTCAACTTCACTTTCCAGGTACGAAGTTTGTGGCGAAGGCCCAGGCGTTGTTGTTTACTGGATCGGCAAGGTGGTCGGCAAGGTTTTCCAATGGTCCCTTTCCGGTAACGATGGCCTGAACAAAGAATCCGAACATTGAGAACATTGCGAGTCTCCCATTCTTTAGCTCCTTTACCTTTAGCTCGGCAAAAGCTTCCGGATCCTCAGCAAGTCCCAATGGGTCGAAGCTACCTCCCGGGTAAAGTGGGTCGACCACCTCGCCGAGGGGCCCACCGGCAATTCTGTAGCCTTCAATAGCTCCCATCAATACAACTTGGACACCCCAGATGGCCAAGATGCTCTGGGCATGGACCAAGCTTGGGTTACCCAAATAGTCGAGCCCACCTTCGCTGAAGATTTGTGATCCAGCCTTGAACCAAACCGCCTCACCGAATTTAACACCATTGCGAGCCAAAAGCTCGGGGAAGACACATCCAAGAGCACCAAGCATGGCCCACCTTGAGTGGATCACCTCAAGCTCACGGTTCTTGGAGAATGTTTCGGGGTCAGCCGAAAGTCCGGCGGTGTCCCAGCCGTAATCACCGGGGAATTCGCCAGTCAAGTAGCTCGGTGCCTCCCCGGAGAATGGGCCTAAGTACTTTACACGGTCCGGGCCGTACCATGGGCTGCCGGAAGAGGCGGGCTTGGGCTTGGCGGCAGTCTTTCTCATTGAGATTCTACCGTTGCCGGTGAATTCGGGGGTGGACTTGACTGCCTGTCCTGCGAAGGATGGGGAAGATAGAGCCATTGAAGAGGCAGCCATTATTGTATTATCAAATGAAAGAATGTGTATTTGCAAGGAATGTGTTTGTTTGGGTTGATTTCTAAGGAGGCAAATCAAGGTATTTATATATGAATTAATAGTGTTATGACTTATGACATGAGAGCCTTATCTATGAATATCATTATCTAGATTGGTAGTGATGATATACAGGTGGCATTTGGGAATCTTGACGTGGCATATATGTCTACTTGGCAACGGCTATCACCACTAATCCTCTTTGATTATTTTTTAGCCATGAAATATGAGTTTGTAAGAATCACATGAAGAAGAGGACAACAGGTGATTGTGAGTATGTGCTTCTGACCAATGAGGTATTGCCAAGTGTGTGGCTGGAGAATTTTGACAAAAAAAAATCTCTCTATTTCCTTTGAAAATAACATAGGTGTGTATAACATATGTTTTAATATTAAGATATTGTAAAAACAAAAAAAAAAAAACATCAAGAGCAATTTGGATATTACACAACTATTGCTAATTTTAAGCTGTGGCTAATTTGAGGGGTAAATTTAGCTTTGCAAAAAATAAAGAGAGGAATTTGTAAGTTATATAAACTTGAGGGGGTCATTTGTAATATAATTTATTTATTACACCAACTGAAATGCAACGTGCGTGCAAAAAATTCTTGGTCTAGATTTTATTGAGAGAAAAAATCTGAAATGATGGACTATAATTTGCCAACTGAGCAGGCCAAATGTACGTATGTATAATCGAATCTTGAAAATCCAATGAAAGAAGAGATATTACAAGATAAGATCAACCACCATTCCTCTTCCCGCGCCTAACTATAAATAACTACTTTCTTCCCTTCCATTATCACCAACACATCCTTCCTCTTTCTACCCATTAAAACACTTAAACAAGCAAATGGTGTTAAATTCGGTGAGGCTGTTTGGTTCAAGGCCGGATCTCAGATCTTCAGCGAGGGTGGGCTCGACTACTTGGGCAACCCTAGCTTGGTCCATGCCCAGAGCATCTTGGCCATCTGGGGTGTCCAAGTTGTTTTGATGGGAGCTATTGAGGGCTACAGAATTGCCGGTGGGCCCCTCGGTGAGGTAGTGGACCCACTTACCCGGGTGGTAGCTTCGACCCGTTGGGTCTTGCTGAGGATCCGGAAGCCTTCGCCGAGCTAAAGGTAAAGGAGCTAAAGAATGGGAGACTCGCAATGTTTTCCATGTTCGGATTCTTTGTTCAGGCCATTGTTACCGGAAAGGGACCATTGGAGAACCTTGCTGACCACCTAACTGACCCGGTTAACAACAACGCATGGGCCTTTGCCACAAACTTCGTACCCGGAAAGTGAATGTGTTTTCAGTTGGGATAATGTGAGCCCACAATTGTTGTTATTAGTGCTTAGTGTAAATGAATGATTAGTATTGAGCATTAATGCAATGCCTTGGTGTAAATGGGTTTGATCTGATGGAACAAAATAATCGATGTTGTGGCATATTATTAATTTTTTTAACATATTTGGGCTTTCAAGAACTAATCCAGCCCCTATATGAAAAGTCCAACTTCAGATTTGGGCTTTCGTGAACTAATCCAGCCCATGTATAAAAAGCCCAACTTTGGATTTGGGCTTTCGTGAACTAATCCAGCCCATATTTAAAAAGCCCAACTTCAGATTTGAGCTTTCAAGAACTAATCCAGCCGATATATATATATAAAAAGGCCAACTTTAGATTTGGGCTTTGTCCAACTCACGGAGTGGAACAATGGCGGCAAATCCACATCTTTTATCAAGGAATTGACGAGAATGCGAGAACCTTTTTAGATGCATCAACCGGAAGTAATTTTATGAGTCAAACTATACCTGATCCATTTATTATGTTGGATCACATTGCTCATAATAGGTTTGCTAAATCAAGCGAAAGGCCGATTACTGAAGCCAAGAAGGTTCCCGGAGTTTTGGAATTACATGCAATTGCGGGCCTTTCGAGCTCAAATGACCCAAATTGCTCAACAGAATCAACTCCTTTTACAGCACATCAAAGCAAACCCACCACAGCAAGTCCAAGCCGTGGATTCTCCATGCTGTGAAATTGCAGTGAAAATTAGTGCATGCTCCAATGCCAACATGATGTGGAATCACTCAATTACGTCAACAGTGCCCCTCACCAATTCCAAAATCAAGGGTTGGGATCACAAGGTCAATACGGAGGAAATTCACAAGGCCACATATTTCAAAAACCTCGAGGGCAATATCAACAACGAGCTCCACCCCAACAAAGCTATCAAGGGAACAATCCACCGGCCCAAAATTCTAACTCAAACCTTGATGAGGTTTTAGTTCAATTTATGACCGTCACTAAAGCCTCAATACAAAATTGGAGACTCAAATGGCACTAGAAAGAGGAAATCGACCAACATGATCTTTGTCATCAAACACTGAGGAGCCAAGAAAAAGGCAAAACGAGCAAGTCCAAGCGGTGAGCCTACGAAACGGACGACAATTAGAGGAGGCCCCTAGAAAGGAGACAACTAATAGCAAAACAAAGACGACCAAATCAGCGGAAGAGAGCTCAAACGATCAAGGCGACACTTCAAAGACCACGGTTACACCGGCTCCGCCCATTCCATACCCGCAAAGGTTCCAAAAGACGAAGTTAGATGCAGAATACCAAAGCTTTGTTAACAAGATGAAGGAAATTCGTATAAATATTCCTCTCGTCGAAGCACTCCAACAAATGCCAAAGTGGGTGAAGTTTGTCAAAGACCTCGTGGCTAAGGGAAAGAAATTGCAAGTTGCCTTAAAAGAGTTTTGAATGTCTCCCACGCCTCGAATAATGTCTCCCTTTGATCTTGGACAAAATTATGAATTTCCCATCGTATTCTTTAATCCTTCTCTGGTGAGCTGTAAATTTTCATGAAAAGTTTTAGAAGTTGAGACCATGACGAGATGGAGTGAGGGGCTTGGAACATCTACCATTGGCGAGCTCTTTCTCTTGTAGGGAATGTTTGAAGAGAATTAATTGAAGCGCCTCTTGGGAAACGCCGTTTTGACGATGGGAGTTACAGATATCGAGAAAATTGACAATGTGAAGATGCGGATCTTCACCTGCCAATCCACTAAATAACCCGTTATTTTGGAGCATCGTCAAAAGTCCTTGCTTGATATCGAAATTATACGCCTCGATTATATAAAAAGACCTATTTCAGATTTGGGCTTTCAAAAACCAATCCAGCCCATATATAAAAAGTCCAATTGCATATTTGGGTTTTCAAGAACTAATCCAGCCCATAAATAAAAAGCCCAACTTCAGATTTGAGCTTTTGTGAACTAATCCAGCCCATATATAAAAACCCCAACTTCGGATTTGGGCTTTCGAGAATGAATCCAGCCGAATATATAAAATGCCCAACTTCAGATTTGGGCTTTTTAAGAACGAAACAAAGTCTATATGATTTTCGGGGTTACACTTAGCTTAATATTTTTATTGGTTGATCTTAGTTTTTCTAATACCTCTGTTATTAAAAAGGTTGCAAGATGTCAAATTTCGTTCGCACAGAAATTTCATCAAACAGGTGGTGTGCACACCGAATCTCATCAAATCCGATCTCAAGAGAGACTGTTTAAAGAACAACATGCAGAAGTGGGACATAAATTAAGATAGAACAGTGATATGAAATAGGAAACAGTGAAGAACCGAAGAAGGTAGAAGAAGACAGAGAAATAAGAGAGAGAGAGAGAGAAGACAGAGAAATAAGAGAGAGAGAGAGAGAGAGAGAGAGAGAGAGAGAGAGAGAGAGAGAGAGAGAGAGAGAGAGAGAGAGAGAGAGAGATATTTCTGAACACTCCCAGAAGCCTACTCCTTCCGTTGGCCCCAAATCCTTACCAAAATTTCCCATAAAACGGAGAAGCAGCAATCGAATTCGTTGAAGCCCATAAAACGTTTAGTATTGAAGATATAAATTGCGGGTAGAATCCGATGAAGAGTGTGTGCGTACGTCGGTGTTGATTTATCGAACACGAGGGTGTCATCGGCAAAACAAAGACATGAGACACTTGGCGCCGTGGGAGCAATTGCAATAACCCGTCATTCTCTGCCTTTCGGATCATTGCAATGAGAGCTTCCGTGCATAATATAAACAAGTACGGGGATACAAATGTGGCTTGCAGTTAGGGGTGTAAACGAGCCGAGCCGACTCGTGAGCTCGAAGAGCCGGATCGTAAAAAGCTCGAACTCGAACTCGAGATTTTCGAGCTCAAGCTCGAGCTCGCGAGCTCGAGCCTTCTGATGAGCCGAGCTCGAGCCGGTTTTCAGTTGTTCATGAGCTCGCGAGCCGGATTTATTATTATTTTTTTATTATTTTTTTTATTTTTTATATGTTATTTTTATTTAAATAATGTATAATAATGTAAAATATTATAGAAATAAATACAAATATTAAAAATATATAATTACAATTTAGTTTTTATTTTTTATTTTTTTAAATAATTTTTAATAATAAAATAATAATTAAAAAAATATTTAAAAAAAAAAAAAAAAAAAAAGACAATGGGCTCGAGCTCGAGCTCGACACAACTGACACGAGCTCGAGCTCGAGCCAAAAAAAGAGGAGCTCGCGAGCTCGAGCTCGATAAAATAAACTCGAGCTCGAGCTCGAGCCAGCCAAAAGAGGCGAGCTCGGCTCGTTTACACCCCTACTTGCAGTACAAATGACGAGAAATTTCCAGTAAAACAAACTTCCATTGATTTTCTTGAAAGAAGATATATATATATATATATATATATATATATATATATATATATATATATATATATATATATATATATATTTTAAAAAACATTAAAAATTACGATTTAATTTAAAAGAAAGATTGAATTTTAATTTTTTTTTTGAATTTTGAAATTTTGAAAAATTTCTCAATTATTATTTTCACTTATAAATACCCCTAATCCAATCTTCACAACTTTCATTTTATTTAGTTTATGTCTCAAGGTCCCAATCGTTTCATTTTTTTCTAAAATTGTTTAGTGTTTAAGTTCAATTTTTCTTTTATAATTTTGAATTTAAAGTTAATCAAGTTTTTTCAAGTTTCAATTGAAGTTTTTTTTTTCTTCCTTGTAATTATTTGGAAAAAAAACAAAAACAAAAACCGGTTTGAACCCAGACCTGATCCGGACCCGGCCCGGATGCGGATGGACCCGCCCCGGACTCGGACCCGCCTCCCCACGGGTCGATTTTGGGTCCTCTAAAAGTCGGACCCGGGCCCAACCCGCCCCGTGGCCATATCTAGACCGACGGTCTTCGGCGTTAATTTTTTTTTTTTTTTTGAATGTTTTTTCTTCAACATCTTTTTGCCCGTTTAAACAGTAATATTATTGTGGTTGACAGTCATATTAACTATATTATTGTTTAACACAATAATATTAACTAGTCTACAGTTTAACACAGTAATATTGTTTGTTCTCTAGCAAAGCAATATTAACACAACAAAAAATCGCTATTATTGTGTAATATTAATATGTTGACCGTTCAATAAAGCCAAACATAATAAAAATAAAAAGTCAAAAGAATTAATATTGATATGTTGACAATAATATTACTATCATCCATAGTAATATTACTGTAACAACAACAATAATACCGTCAACCATAGTAGTATTATTGTGTTTACTGTAATATTACACTAGTAGACAGTAATATTATTACGTTAATCGGTCAACAAATCAAACAATAAAAGGCAAAAAAAAAACTGTGATATGGTTAAGAGTAATATTGTTGTGTTTACATTAATTTACCGTCAACGACAGTAATGTAATTACGTTGACTTTTCAATAAACCAAACAAAAAAAAAAAGCCAAAATAATAATAATATTATTGTGGTTGACAAACTACTATACAATTACGTAAATGTACTGTCAACGATAGTGCAATTACTGTCAGCGACAGTATAATTATTATTAATAACAGTACAGTTACGGTCAATGTTCAGAGGCGGGTGTAAAAACATGATAAAAATTTGAAGGAGAAAAAAAAAAAAAGGTCAACTTCTCCCTTTTGTTTGTGGTCAAAGGCGGAAACCGGCGGTGGGAAAAACAGGCAGAAAATAAAAATAAAAATAAAAAATAAAAAAAGTCAACGTCGGAGACCAGCGGCCAACGCCGAAAACCGGCGGCGGAAAAAGCAGACAAAAAAATAAATCAACGTCGGAAACTGGAGGCAAAAAAAAAAGTTTAAAAAAAGAAAAAGTCAAAATCGGATTTCTGTGGTCAAAATTGATTAGATTGAAGTTAAATTGGGGTTATAATTTGGAATTAGTTTAAAGGGTAGGGGTAATTTTGTCACATACATTAACTTTCCATTTATTTATAATACATATTAAATGGATGAACTTATTGACGAAAAAGATATAACCGATGAACCTAGATTAATAAAGATGGTTGGTCATAGACTTATGCATAAAAACCCCTTTTAATTCATTAATGAAAGATGAAAGGAATTAAATTTACTTTATTGAA